GGTGTTTCTGTTCTTGGAAACCTGTGTTTCCAGGATTCACAGCATGGTTGCAATGGAAATCCTATTTAGTATTGGTGAGCTGTCAGTCAAAGAAATTTAAACTTACACCAGCAGCCCGTATCTTTAAGAGCTTTAGGACAGCAGCTGCATCCTCTGGGGGCTCATCTCACAGCTCGCCGACGATGACTCAAACTCTATGCGGGAGAAGCAGAGAAAAGACAACAAAAGGTAAGCAAAGGTCATTCAAAATCTTTTCATCATAAAGAACTAACACAACAGGCACAAACAGATATCAGTAATATCAACAAACAGGCTGACAGGGTGAGAACCACAGTCATATTGGTAGACAGGACTATATCTATTTGCAAAATCAGTTGGTTTGTGTGTATGTTTCTTGTTTTACCTTCACTGTGACAGACACAGAGAATAACAATTTATTTTCCAGTCTAATGCAATAGCATTCTCAAACAGCTTCACAGGTCCACAATACCCTGGGAAACTGTTAACCACCTGTTGCCTTGCTATTTTCCATGCTACTGGGCAGGTTGATTGTTTCAGAATGTGGCAGTGGGTGTCCTATGGTGCACCAGAACAGACTTCCACTTATCCTCACTTTCAACTTTCACTTTCAAATAGTTATATCAAGGATGAGATAGCATGCACAAGGTAAGGCCCACACACTCCTAGGTTGTGTTTGCTTTCAATAGAAGTTGAAGGAATGTTGCCATGCCATCGACCTCGCAGATGTGTAAAATACTAAATCCAACACTCGACACAAGCAGCAATCCTAAACCACATTTTCTTAAAATTGGCTAAGGGACAAGGATAAAAAATAACTTGGCAACATGCACAACTTGGACTTTTAATGTGTTTTTATTCATTTCATATTCTGAATCAATCCAGTGGTTCCAGCAACCCCTTGTTGGTCAGCCATGCTGGTAATCAACCAATTTCCAGATAACCAGCCCTTCACTACAGGAAACTCACCAAGGACTGCTTACCCTCATACCCCCCTCATACCCACCTGAACCTTTGACTGTCTGTCTCTCTCCCTTGTTTTGGTCCCTGGTTTAACTATACTCAACAGCCAACAACAGTTTAATCCGTAAACCCAAAATAATTATGAAAATTACTGCTACAGTCTACCTTATGATATATCCATGTTTAAATGTTATCTCTGTATAGATGACTGCATGCATTCAAATGCAGATTGCAGGTACACATCTTTTTTTTGACAAATAGCATGGATCAATCCCTACTGAGCCGAGGTGGGACTTGAATGTACAAGTAGATGTGACGGTAAAAAGGTTGAAAAGAGGAATGTTTTGATTGAAATGTGTAATGATGTTTTTATATCAATCCTGTACTGAATTGTCTGACCTAAACCTTAGCTTTTGGGCTTGGACATGGGAGCAGATACAGTGGAACATCCTTTTGTATTTAGTTTTATTCAGGCTTATTGTTTGTGACTGTCCTAGCCTGGGAACCATATGTCTGGCCACCGTTCCATTCAAACATTCAAAGACTTCCTCCAGCTGCGAATCCGGTCAGGCCAATCCCAATTTTATTTAATATGGGATGGGTTTTATACGATGATTGACTGAACGTCACTGCTACAAATGGTTGTAGGTCTATCTAACTGTGTCCAGGCAACACACTGACTCACAAAACTCAGATCAAGCTGTCAAACTAGGCAGTGCTGATCAAATATGAATCAAGATCCTGCGTTGCCTATTTCAAACCTCAAATGTTTTCAGAAAAAAACATTTTATTGTTTTGTTTAGCTGTAATTTGAGAAAGTTTGTGACTAGGCTGCCCCAACTTGTGTGAAATGTTTCGTTGCTCTGATTGGTTGTAGATCTATTCAACTGCATCCAGAGTCATTTTGGCCTGCATCCACTGAAAACGTCCCTTGGGAATTAAAATGAACTGAGAAATTCCTGACTAAAAATGCTAATTAATCTTACGATGCTAGGCTATGATTGTCTTGCTTCAGCTTAACTTTGTTGGTTTACAAGAAAACTCCACAGAGCACCTTTAACTGATCAGTCAGTGGGAGGTTTCAATTACATTTAGCATTTAGCATTTAGTAGCAGTTTTAATCTTAACTGCTAACATCAAAGTCCGCTTTGAACGACAGCCACAAATGAAAATGTTTTCAACAGAAGAGGCTGTTGGTGGTTGAAACACACACATACACACACGCACACACCTACACACACACACACACACACACACCTCTATTGCTGTCCTTTTCCCATCTGATAACATCTCTCTTATAGGTTTTTTTCCACAGCTGAAGCAAGTTTGTTTCATGTCAGCAGTGAAAATATCCAGGGGAATTTTTTTGACAGAATATGTGAATAATATGTTTATTATTATTATTATATTAATTTTTCACATTTTTTCTGCCGTCTACTTACATCCCTTTATTCCCTATGTATACACAGTATAAGGTGTGTGGACATTTAAACAAACCACTGCCTTTCAAGAAGGCAGATGAGAAATGGAGCTCTTGACTCTTTAAGTATCCTCTGTTTTATAAAAAGCTCTCTGTCTATCTTTCCGTCAAAGACTTCCTGCTGAGTGAGCCTCCTTGACGATGCTTGTATTAAAATTGATTTGATCATTTGATTCCAGCACTACATCCGTCCTCAATCTATCCAATAAAATCTCTGCTTTCAAAGGGGTTTTTGCACTACGGCTGCTGTAGACATTAGTCACGACAGTCATGGTGTCTGTGCTTTATTATATGTTGCCCCATGCTGTCATGGAGCTGAAGAAATTAATCATTCTTAACCTTCAGACCATTTTGCAGTTACAAAAGACGGAAGAATGTAGAAAAAACATCAAATAAGACTTTGAGAAGAAATTATTCTGTTCTGTTCTGTGTGTGTTTATACTGAATGCTCCGGTGCAGCAATCCCCACAGAACTGTTAGTAACCTTCATTCATATCGAAAAGTTCATACATTAGAGTTTAAGTAAGGTAATGTAAGGCAATGCCTGACGTATGTGTGATTTAACATTTTTCATATTGTATTCTCAGTGTCTGACAGTGTCTCAATGCTTCTGATGTGTATATATTGTACCTGCTTGTTTGTATTGGCTGCTTCCAAGTGCCAGAGTTCATGCTGAGGGTGAAGCTCATATGGGAATGTGAGACAGAGTTGATTGCGATCCATCCTCAGTTTTAAGTGTTTATAGAAGATACACACTCCCCTATTAAACCCTGCACAACATGTAGAGCTGATATTATCTGTTTGATGGTGTGTGTGTGTAGAGAGAGAGAGAGAGAGAGAGAAGATGTTTCAAATCAGCCAAAAAAAACCAAACAACGCCCCCCACCCCAAAAAACAACAACCAACAAACAAAACAAGTCAAATTCAGTATATGGGTGGGATGTTTAGAGTATCCCTCTGTGGCAGAATGTGGTTCAGTGTACATCTGACAGAGGTGTCAAACACTGGCATTTTGCTCTGTAACAATAAAAAATCTATTAGGCATTCTTTCAGTGCCTGAAAAACCAGAGGAAGCATTTGGTCTAAACTAAAACAACGATTTCAGAGACTATGATCTAATGTTTGTGGGAATATATAAGATCACAAAGGTAATTTATTCTCACCTCCTTCACGTTTGTAAAAATATAAATACTAAATACAAATACGCTATATATATATATATAAATAATATATATAAATAGCCAACATTCAACATCTTATTCATAGTTTAGGTATTTAAGGGTTATCTTGTAAATGTTCTTGGAGTATCACAAGTGACAGTGTTATATTATTTTTAGGTTAACATGTAAGCAGCAGTTATATGATAGTTATATGGTGGAGGCGGAGCTTATTGTAATTACATTATATTCAAAATCTGATTTTATACTTATTATAGATGTTAGATAATTGTAGTGGAATAGAAGTATAAAACATGGAAGTGTCTCAAAATTGTTCAAAATCGAGCAGTTGAGTAAA